AGGAACCGGTCCGTATGTGGGATCCGAACCCTCGGGTGGGAGCGCCACCGCGCTTCCCAAGCGGCGCACTATCCAGTGCGCCACCGGGCCGGCCCTAAGACAGCATATTGACAATGAAAATAGTGCTGTGGTAATATGGTAACATTATATACAACTCATAAAACTATTTTTAAATTACCTTAAATTTTATGGTTACTGTCTTTTCAATTTAAAAGTAGAACAGTAACATATGGAAAATATTTTACTGAGAATTCTGAAGGGCTGGCTGGTTCCTTCAGTTGGTTAGAGTGTGGGTTTGTAACACCAAGGTCAAGGGTTCAAATCCCCATAACAGCCAGCCACGAAAAAATAAAAATAAAAAGAGAATTCTGGACTACCATGAGTTATTTCCTCTTTTCATTCAAAAAATCTAAACATATTAATATTTTAGAACGCTATAGATAGCTATAATACTAAACACATAATACTGAATAAATCAGGGGATACTGCTTAAGAACTGCATTATTTTTCATATCCATCCCTCTATATCAGAAATCCAAGTTATAAAATTAAAACAAAACAAAACAGAACAAAAACCCCAGAAATCCATGTCATTAGTTCCTTCATTTATTATTCTGCTCTTAAACCCAAGCAGGCTTCCAGCATGACAGAAATTTTCTCATATGGCTCATTATTATAGTCATAGCTATTACACACACACCAAATATACACATACTATATATAGTGCAAGTTTCATCTAGTTCTGATAACCTTTAAAATGAATGTTAGTCCCTTCTAGCAATATAGAATTATAAAGATGTCCCTCTATTCTGTGGGTGATGCCGGATATTTAGTGTGCCTAACTTTAATAAGGAAATAGAAAGTTTCCTGAAAATTATAATTTCCAGTGTTCCTCAATGTAAAATTACTCTTACATATGTAGTCAAAAAATAGTTATGTAGCTTAGGGACTTAAATATATTTGTTATGACAGGAGCAGACTTATATGTAGGATGATATGTAATGATTATGTTATATGACATGTAATAATCATGACACCAGATCAAAACTATTAAGTTGACAAAGGAAACAGTATTTTGCAGAAAGTCAGAAACAATATGGGCCGGCCCGGTGGCGCACTGCTACAGTGCGCCGCTTGGGAGTGCGGTGGCGCTCCCGCCGAGTGTTCGGATCCCACATACAGACCGGCCACTCACTGGCTGAGCGAGGTACGGG